GGTGGGTTCTATCCCACACTGACAAAATGAATTAAATATTACTCTCATATAAGGAAAGGTGAGGTGAAGCACTACCTATTGGCTTAAGGTTTTGGTTAGAAAGTGGATCCGGGCTTTATATGATTACAACATGATTACGAAAGTGTAGCAAATTGAGAATTTTGTATTGCAGCTCATACGTGCATAAATTAAATCCCATGGTTTTAAATGTTTAGGTGAGCCAACTTATTTCTCAGTTTTTTCAAGCACGTGCACAAATGAAGAATCTGATGGGTGCAGTTGGGGATGCGTCTCTTCCTAAACTTGAAGAGGCAATGAAAATGGGACAACAGGTGCTTATATTATGCTCTGCTTTTTTAATTCTTCAGACCAATAAAAAGCCAATTTCTTAATGCTTAAGAGCGTAAAACGCCAATTTTTTTATTGGTTAAGATCATAAAACGCCATGGGTTATTAGAGTTCTTGAGCTTAGAGGGTATTTCTTTCTTGTTTTCGAAGAATTTGACAAAACTGTCCAAAGTGAAAAATTATTCTCTTTATTTATTTGCCTTGATAAATGATAAACTAGGCCTCTCGTGGAAGGAAGCAGAAATCGAAGTCAAGGAAGCTGTTTATTAACTCGGCTTCTTCAACAAGACCAAGTGCTCGCGGTTTTGGGGCCAAATAAGGAATTGTTGAATACACCCTTTCCAGCAACAGGTGAGGAGCTCATCTTATTTGCCGGTGTGGTTGGTTGTTCAATGATATTATCCCAAGTTACTCGTTAATGAGTATTCATTGTGGAAGTACGGGAAATACCATACATTCGACTGTATCATATACAGAGTTTATTGCCTTCGAAATAGATGAGATTAATCATCTAAATTAACATTAGGAAAGTAAATCACTGCAAATCATTTAGTGTACTCCCTCCATCTCAATTTAATCTTTTTAGGTTCTTTCTATGATCTTTGGATAACTCATGTTTGTATGTATGCTTTCATTGTTCATTTTATAAAACAAAATATTCTTGTCGCTTCTTATTTTGTAAAACTTTTGATGTAGTTTTAAATGATGTAATTTGTATTTTTATTTATACACCAATTTATAAATAATTTTTTAAAAAAAGAAATGAAATTTTGCATGTTTTTATAAATGCAAAGAATAAATTGGGAAAGGGAAGTAATACCTTCTCATCTTGAAAATTATGAGGGGAGGCGACTTCATATGGTTGACAACAAGCAATTTAAAGGTCAATTCTGGATTGTGAAGGTTTTGAAAAGTGAAATTTGTATTAATTAGTATTAAAACATACTCCCTCCGTCTCCCTGTATTTGTCCACATTTGACTTTTGGAACTGTTCATCTAAGCACTTTGACTCATCAAATTCTCTCAATGTGTAAGCCTAAATATAGTCATGTGTGATCTTGTTTGATTTGTCTTAACATATAGATTATTAATATATAAATTTTATAATTTTTTAATATACAAATTACAAGATAAAATGAATTAAAGAAGTGCATTGGATGGTGTGTAAAAATAAAAGTGGACAAATACAGGGGAACGGAGGGAGTATGCCATTTCCTAATATAGTACTTAAACTTTTTTATTCTCTAAATAGTACTTGAATAATGTCTAGTGGTGAAAATAATGTCAAGTGATAATGAACATCTAGTTTGAACAATGTACAATGATGTTTGACATTTACTTGAACAATGACCACTAGACAATGACCAATGGTACTATATTGGGAAATAAAAACATTTGGTATTTTGGCATTATATTGAGAAATCATTATGTTTTAGTAACATTTAAGTAAATTTTCCTTTTGAAAAACCATTCGCAATTCGTGAGAGCGATTCTGACATATTGGGGCGGGGCAGATCTGACTTTTCTCGAAACAGTAGATAATCTACTGTTTCATCATTTAAATTTTTAAAACGGTAGATTATCTACTGTGTGCATTTAATTTTATTTTTGTAGTTTAAAAAGAATTATTAATTGTTTGTTTTTTTGTTGTTTTAAAAAAATTCTAAATAGATTTTTTAGAAAAAAAGATTTAGTAAATTTAAATCCACGTTCATATATATTTTGATCGGTATAAAATAGAATTATGAAACCGTCAAAAACGCTAATACGGAAATAAAAAGTACAATTTATTAAGTTAGGTTGATTGTATGGTATATAGATCTTTTTATTGCTGTATGGAATTTATGGGGTTAGGTTGATTGAATGATGTATGATTTTTGTGGTTGCTTTATTGTGTTAGGTAGATCCAATGATGCATGATGTGAACTCTTATTTGGGATTTATTGGATAGGTAAAAAACACAAAAATATTCAATAAAAGGGAAAAGTAGAAATTAAACAAATTACTAAATATTAAAAAGCTGTCAAACCCGCTAATATGAAAATTAAAAAGTACAAATAACACGTACTAAGTTGTACTTATATAAAAATATCACATAGAAATTTTTAAATCAACCAAGTACCACCACGACGCATTCGCGGTCACATATCCATGTTATTAGTGAAACGGGTGGTTACTACATGGCCGACCTGAGACCTTTGCCGCGTATTTGGTTGCACTAACTCGTAATCAAGATTAGGCCATTCCATTTAATTCAGGAGCGGCATAATATTTCCGCAGCATGCATTCACATAGCTCTGAATTGAGAATATTGATGCAATGAGATCATCAACCCTGATATTGCAATAACGACACACGACGTAGACGTGGACACATGGCATGTGCAATGTGGCCCATTTCTCGCAACAACATATTTTTGGCCCAATTGTACCATTATTTCATCTACTCTACTAGCAGCTCAAACATTGCCCTTAACAACAACTCGATAAATCCCTGGTTGCGGATAATGAGGGATAACATGGCAATGCAAATGATTGTCTTCCATGCATCTCACCTCCGTCTATCCGCATGTCTGCAAATAATTTGACTAATCTTTCATAGGCTGTCTTTACGATAGCGTATACCGGAAGAGACCGACATCCCATTAGCACAAGATTGAAGCTTTTAGAAAGATCTGTAGTCAAGATTTCATTCGACATCCATTTTATCGAATGAGTAACAAAACTAAGAAAAAAAAAGTCAATAGAATTTGATCTCGTTAATTAATAAATATATAGCTTAATATGTGGGAGGGAGCAGTAAACTTCAATGGAAATTAGGAGGAAAATACGACAATATTCAAGAAAAGTGTATGGTCGTTAAATGTAAATGGGAGAAGAGACTTGGTGTAAAAGAGCATAGAAAGCAACCATATATACATTAGGGTGCCATATTATAAATTATAAAAAAGTAAGAAAATAATTATCCCATAACAAATTACCCAATGAATATACACACATCAGATAATTTGAAAATTAAAGTATTGTTTAATTTGATTTTAAAAATTAGAAACGAATACGGATATATCCGATATCTGAGTGATATCCGACGGATGCATATATTATTTTGATTTTTAGTATTCGTCAAGATTTGTATCTGAATTCGATATCCGATAAAAATAAACAGATATAAATTTAAAAATGATACATCCGATCTAATTAATATCTGTTTACACCCATACTTCAAATAAATCGCGTGGTATGTTCTTGTCATATTTTTGACATATTGCTTTTCCTCTTTTTCATAAATTCGGTGTAAACTGTAAACATTAGTTGACTTTTTCTGTTGACGCCACCCCAAAGGTTTTTTTTTTAAGATCCCATAACTCTAGTCTACCAGCAAACATTTTTCAACCGTTTTAGCATATGGGTAGCTTAGCTGGTTGAACAAAAAAGGTGAATGTCTTCGTTTCTTTTCATTCAATAATTCATTTCCTCTCTCTCTCGTAATATCTCATACTCCCTCCGTCTCCAATTTGATTACAAATTGCGGATTACGGAGTGAAATTTTCTATTTTTTGAAATCATTTTATTTACAAATTGGTATATCACTAAGATATAAAAATTACATATTAAAAAACTACATCAAAAATTCTACAAAACAAGAGGTAATAAGAATATTTTATTTTATCAAATACTTAATGAAATCGCGTAAACAAATAAAAAATATCGAGAGGAGAGAGAAAAAATAAATTGTAATCTATTTAGGGACAGAGAGAGTAACTATATTCTCCCAAGAAACATTTTTCAAACCGTTTTAGTACGATATGGGTAGCTTAAGTTTGAATCTTACGAGTAATTTAAGAAAAGAGAAAAAAATCTGTTCATAGATACAATAACATGACATTGTTGGATAAATAAAGCACAACAATGAATGATCTCTTCTCGGGTTCTTCCCCTCGTCAACGGGACAATCAGTCGGTCGAGATGACCGGCACCGGCGGCGGAGTGAATCTCGACCAGTTCTTCGCCGACGTGGAGGTGATCGATAATGATCTCCGGGATCTCGATCAAACCCGCTCCATTCTCTGCACCTCCCACGACCGCAGCAAGACTCTCCACAATGCTCGGCAGTTGAACGATCTCCGGGGAGAAATGGACGCCGACGTTTCCCAGGCGTTGACCAAGGCCAAACTCGTCAAGGTCCGGCTGGAGGCGCTGGACCGGTCCAACGCGGCCAGCCGGACCGTCCCGGGATGCGGTCCGGGCAGTTCGGCCGACCGGACCAGGACGTCGGTGGTGAACGGGCTGAGGAAAAAGCTCCGGGACTCGATGGCCCAGTTCAACGAGCTCCGGGAGAAGATGGCGGCGGAGTACCGGGAGACGGTGGAGAGGAGGTATTACACGGTGACGGGGGAGAGGGCGGAGGAGGCGGTGGTGGACGCGCTGATCTCGACGGGGCAGAGCGAGACCATCCTGCAGAAGGCGATCGGGGAGAAGGGGAGGGGAGAGGTGATGGAGGCGATGGCGGAGATCCAGGAGCGGCACGCGGCGGTGAAGGAGGTGGAGAGGAGCTTGAATGAGCTGAATCAGGTGTTCGTGGACATGGCGGTGCTGGTGGAGAGGCAAGGGGCAGATCTGGAGGACATAGAGGGTCATGTGAACAGGGCGAGCAGCTTCGTTAGGGGTGGAACTCAGAATCTGGAGGTTGCCCGGAAGCGGCAGAGGAACACGAGGAAGTGGGCTTGCATCGGGATCGCAATCCTGCTCCTCCTCATCTTCATCCTTGTTCTATCCCTTCAGCCATGGAAGAAGAAGAAGAAAAACTGATCGCATTCCCCCACCGATTGAGAACCCGGCAAGTCAACAACGACTCAAAGTCAAATGTCTTGGCTCTGCCAACTCGTTCTCTTTTTTTTTCTCATTTTTTTTTAAAACTTTTTTTTACCAAAATTTATAAATTTTGATATCAATAAGCGGGAAGAGTGTTTAAACTAGGTACATTCGATAAATGTTTATTACGGAGTATAAATTAACGAAATATTCATTTTGAATCAATAGAGTGTTCAATTCAGGGCCGGCCCAATAGGGGAACAAGGTGTTCATCCGGGCCGGACCCAATAATTTTAGGGGCACCAAAATATTTTTAAAGTATTATATATGTGTGTGTGTATATATATATATATATATATATATATATATATATATATATATATATATATATATATATATATATATATATATAAGAAGCTCAGCTCGCTTCTTTTAAGGCTCAGTCCACCCACTTCTTAACTTAGTCTACTCTTAGCCCAGTCCACCCCTCACCTTGTAGACAAAAAAACCGAAGCCTAAGTGCCAAACGAAGAAAGGACCAGAAGAGGCCAAGAGAGCCGACTACCAATAGCCGAAGAAAGGACGGCACCTCCACGCCGGACGCCCACGGCACCACCCTCCAAGTATTCCATATTCAATTATTCATAGCTTCCCAATTTTGTAATTTCTATTTCTTAAATCTTAATTTTCTTTTATTGTTTCATTTTTTAGATTTAAAATCTAGGGTTAATTATTAGTTTTTAATTTAAAATCTTTGAAATAGAATGAATTAATGGTTCTATATGTTATTCATTTGATTTGGATGAATTGATTTGAATTTGTTATTTATGATATATTTATATTAAAAAAAATTGAAAACCTAAAAAAATTTAAAAATTGATAAATTGACGAATTGATATTAATTTATGATTTATAAAAAAAATTAAAACTGAAAAAGAAAAAAACAATTAAAAAATGATATGCAAGGAGAACTTCTCGAATTCTCGGCTAGCTTTTACGGTATGTAATTATAACACTATAATTTTGTCATTTATTTTTTTTCTTCTAATAATATTGCGTTAATTACAATTTAAATATAATTAGTTTACATATGTGAACTTGTTAGACCATTAATGATAAGACTTTTAGGGTCTTTTTTCTGTTTCGGCCCAGGCTGATGAATCCTCAGGACCGGCCCTGGTTCAATTTCACACATGTGTTTATTAGAATTATAATACTCATTTACGAACAACGCAGTGTTACGTTCATTATGAAAAAACGTAGTTTTCATTTCAATCTTACTAAGAGTAGCGTTCATTTTGAAAATCGTAACGTTCATTCTAAAGCGACATAGTATTCCTATCGCTGCCACCGCCGTCAATGGTTGCTGAGCGTCTAATCTATATCATCGTCGTTGTCTCCTTCTCCTTCCTCAACATAGGGTTTCCAGAGCAGCCCTTTGTCGATAAACTGTCCAAGCCCCATTGTCTGTGTGCTTGGCTATCTCTAAGAAGGCATCCTTTTTCGTCATCGCACCTAGGGTTCCAGATCTAAGCAGCATCATGGCTCCTCTGCCGCTCAATGGGATCACAACTTTGATTCGATTGTACCAGAAGCTCCAATACAATTGGATGTATAGTAGAACTTGCGATATACGAGGAAAACACATTATGTTTCGATACCTATTTAATATCAAAAGCTTCATTTTGAATCGTAATTTTGCAATATTTATTTTTATAAATATATGTAGAGAAAATTCCCAAAATGGTCCTTTGTAATAAAGTGTTTTCCCAATTTAGTCCTCAATAATTTTTAATTACCAATATTGTCCTCTATAATTCAGATTTATTCCCAAGATAGTTCTTCGTAAATAATGTTACTCAAAAGATGATTAATTGGAAAGTATTTTTGTATTTTGATCATCCAAATTTAAAGTATATTCTCAAACAATTATTTTTGTACAACTAAATGTAAAATTGAAAAATACATTGGCTATAAATAATTCAAGAATTATTTTCCTTAAATATGCCCAAAAGTCAAAACATGTGATTTACAATGGGACCGGGGGAGTATTAATTATTTGATACAAAAAAGTTTTATTAGATTTATTATATGGTAAGAAATTTGAAAATATAAAAAGTCGAGAGTTAGGCCATGTATTCTTAAAGTATTTCTTATTTCTTATTCGTTTTTCTTATTAGAACTAGATATTGAAACATAATGTATTTTCTTCGTATATCGCAAGTTCTACTATACATCCAATTGTATGGGAGCTTCTGGTACAATTGGATCAAAGTTGTGATCCCGTTGAGCGGCAGAGGAGCCATGATGCTGCTTAGATCTAGATACCTAGGTGCGATGACGAAAAGGACACCTTCTTGGAGACAGCCAAGCACACATGCAATGGGGCTTGGATAGTTGATCGACAAAGGGCTGCTTTGGAAACCCTATCTTGAGGAAGGAGAAGGGGACAACGACGATGATATAGATTAGATGCTAAGCAACCACCACTACGGCGGTGGCAGCGAAAGGAATACTATGTCGCTTCATGAACGTTACAATTTTCAAAATGAACGTTGTGCTTAGTAAGATTGAAATGAAAATTATATTTTTTCATAATGATCGCGACACTACGTTGTTTGTAAATGAATATTATAATTCTAATAAACACATGTGTGGAATTGAACCAGGATCGGTCCTGAGGATTCATTAGCCTAGGCCGAAACAAAAAAAAGGCCTTAGAAGTCTTATCCTTAATAGTCTAACAAATTCACATATGTCAACTAATTTTATTTTAATTATAGTTAGTTCAATATTATTAGAAGAAAAAAATAAATGACAAAGTTATAGTGTTATAATTACATACCGTAAAAGCTAGCCGAGGATTCGAGAAGTTATCCTTGCATATCATTTTTTATTTTTTTTCTTTTTCAGTTTTAATTTTTTTATAAATCATAAATTCATATCAATTTGTCAATTTATCAGTTTTTAAATTTTTTGGGTTTTAGTTTTTTATATAAATATATCATAAATAAAAAGTTCAAATCAATTCATCCAAACCAAATGAATACTACGTAACATATAGAACCATTAATTCATTCTATTTCAAAGAATGAAATTAGAAAAGATTTCAAATTAAAACTACTAAAAATTAACCCTAGATTTTAAATCTAAAAAATGAAATTATGAAATAAAATTAAGATTTAAGAAATAGAAATTACAAAATTGAAAAGCTATGAATAATTGAATATGGAATACTTACAAGACATAGAAGTTCAAAGTGGGAAGAATATGCACCAAAATCCTTTGAAAATGCACTGTCTTAAAATCTGAGTGCAGGATGTAATCTGAGTCGCACGATGCATCAGATCCAACGGCTAGATTTTATTCTCATTTCTCTCCACAAGGTGTATTTTCACAGGAACCGGCCCATATATATATATATATATATATATATATATATATATATATATATATATATATATATATATATATATATATATATATATATATATATATATATATATATATATATATATATATATATATATATATATATATATATATATATATATATG